AATACTGAAGCCTGCTACTGTTTTTCAGAACATGAATTCTCTAAGATTCTGGAAATAAGATCTTTTTGAAATAATTTATATTGATTTTCTTCGTGATAATCTGCACAGCAATGCTCATCACTTATTAATATTGGAAATCTTTTTTATAAACTGCTTGATAATTTATTCTTACTTAAGTACAACTGCAAACATTTTGCTTTTGGATTTGTGCATGTTCCCTGATACAGGAAACATGAGATATCACTCAGTTTTTGTTTTTTACTTTTTATGATGAGTGTAAACTTTTTTTAAGACTAAGGCATCATACAAGAAATGATTTTTTAAAAAGTTTTACAGACTACTTTTAAAAAAAATTATAAGCATCAAAATATGAAAATTTGCATTATTTAAAACACTGCTGTAAAGTGAAAGCATATGTCTGCATAATGGTTGAAAAAATAAAGGCTGAATAAGGACTTGTGAAGACTGTAAATGTACAAAAATTGTTTAGTTATGACTAAAAGTAATATAAAAATTTTGTAACATTCTTGCAAGTTATTCTAAATGATAATTAGTGAAACAGCATAACCTAAGAAAATAACCTCAATAAAAATAATTCTGAACAAAGCATGCATTTGTTTACATATACAAAAATTAAAATATTTTTATGTATAATACAGATAAAGTTTCTCTTAAAAAGCAAGACAATGAGAAGTTTCAATTTACAAGAAACTATTTGTTGATTAAAAAAAATAGAATACAGAATTTCCATGCATATATACATGTTAATGTAAAGTTTTCAATTTTTTTTATTCCTACACTTCGAAAATATTATTCTTTGCATATTATGAGAATGCATATAGTAAGCAACACTGACTTACTTAACATGCGTAATAAAAATATTTAACATTCATTTATTTCAATTTGAAAAAATTTTTAAAAATAGATATGAATTAAATTTAACAATTTTATGAATTATAAATAAGCTTTAATGTATAAAGTAACAATTTTTTTCCAGTAAAAAATATGTCCATGTTTCATAATTTAATTAAATTTATACACATGTTATTTTATTTCAGTTATGTTATTTTGCCCACTTAAAAATATATAAATCCCTTAAAATGCGCACTGTATTTAAGATATGGCATGGCTTCAATAATAATTCTTTTAGCATACTGCAATACTGTGATCAGCAAAATCTATTTGAGTTCAATGCATGGAGGAGTAAACATTAAGAAATATACAAGAATAATATTCAGCAATTTGAAGCAACATACTTTTAAAACTAGCAAATTATCAGTTTTGTCAGACTTAACATTTAAGAATGTTTTTCAATAAAGGGGAAGGCTGAATAACAAGAATTTACTTACCTTTTTATTTAAATAGAACTATATTAATATGCAAAAAAGGGGCTGGGGACTTTATTCTTACAACCACACAGTAAATTGTGTATGTCATAATAGATTTCTATTAAACAGCTCTATACATCTGATCAAATTTCATAATTATTTTTCTTTTAAATATTGCCTTTTCTTTTGGTTGGATGGCAGGAGTACAGTAGCAAGTCTTTAAATTTATTCTTTATTTTGATATAAAACTTGAACAAATGAAATATGTGTGGATATACACACTCATATATTCAGTGCCAAAATAATGTGCATGTTCTCTAAAAGCTTGTTTTAGTGGACAGTGAAACTGTTATGGCCCAAAATTGCCAAGAAGAGACTGTTTCAGCTGCAAAACTACTAGTTACTTTTAAATAACACCAAACATGAAATGAAGGTTTAAAAACTCAAAAATCTTGGTAAAGAAAGCATCAGGTGGTGCACATTAGACAAGAGCAAAATGTCACTATCCGTTTATTTACTTATTTTGGTAAAGGAAAGTAACTCAATAAAGTATTCAACACCTAATTATGAGAGTGGTTTTTAACTTTTTTTTACAGCTTCCCACATAGCTTACATTTTTCCTTTTCAAATTTATTTTAAGAGATAAGCAGTTTATAATTACTTCAATTATTATTTTTGCATAATATGCATTAACTAGTGGATTAATTGCATAAATGAGATTTTCCTTGTTTTTTACTACAAAAGTAAAATTTCTACTACGTATCTTTTTTGTCTGATTAAAACAAAAGTAAACCTCTCCCCCTTTTTTTTTGTTTCAAAATCACGCATTTCTCAAAGATTAATAAATACTTTATACTAGGAAATGTAAAGAACATGAATGTAATATTTATACTGTTGAGTGGAAATAAGAACAATACTTTTTTCCATCTTATAGTTATAAATAAAATTTTAAAGAAAATGGAATTAACACATTTATTTTGAATTTAAATATCCTTACATGTAATGCTATTAGTATAAGCATATTATAAATACTTTGGGTTATTTTTTAAGAAGTATATAATACAGACAAAAGATGAGAAAGATAATCAACCTCGGATATAAAACCACATAACAGAAGAAGCTAGCTTCTTCACGTAATAGTCAGAGCAAAATTAATTTCTAGTTTTGTGTATATCAATATATTTTTTATACTTTACCCTCTTCCCGCCCCAAAAAAAACTCACTAGAATTAAAATTCTATTTCGGGCTTAATGATTTTTTTAAACAAATTTAAAATATATTGGCTCATGCTATATAAATACCTAAATATGACAGCACAGAACCAAGTTACTCTCTAACGGCATGACCATGCATTAGTGAAATCTAGATTACTATAGGTTTGTGAAATACTGCAAGTATGTGCTTTAGCAGATATGCCATAATAAATTTCTAGTTATTTGTCACTAAATATATTTAACACATTTGAAAAGTAGCTGATTTTGATATACTTCTCAAACTAGTATTGGGGGTGCAGAGACTAACAGAAAAAATACATATGACATATTTAAGAAACAAAATATCAGTCAATACAAAATTGGTTGCTTCATTAACAAAGCACTTGGATGAAAAAATTCAAACTTAAGTCAAACAAAATGGCAAAAAGGAAAGGAAAGTCTAAAAATACTGCTTCATAGCAATATTTTTTTGTTTATTGTTTCAGCAGAAACAGAAAATTGCTCAGATGCAAAATAACCAGAAACAGCCCTTTTTCCTTTCGTCCCAAAGAAGGCTTAATGCTTTGTAATTAGTAAAACCAAACCTCATTTAGAATTTTTCAGGCAACTACATTTAAATACAAAAAGCATACTTTTTAATTACATGAACCATAAATTTTATTTCATCAGTTTCTTACTGCTGGTTCTTCAGAAATTATGCCAACTTAATGGAAAAGTATAACTGCACCATGCAAACGGAATGTTCAGTATTAGTTCCTAAAGGCTGACTCTGGGCCAAACATGTTAACAATTATTTTTATTTTCTTTTGCGATGATACGTAAAATGTTAAACACTGTGCCTTTAATAATGGAAAATAATTTAAAATATGATCATGCAAAATTCAAATTAAATGCTCACTTTTAGAGTACTTCAAAAAATGGCATGGGTAATACACATGTAAATGCATAAGCAAAATATTTAGTAGCTGAATTTCTCCTATGTTATTCATTCTGCTTCATACAGTTTTATTAGGTTTACCACAAAATTCATGAAATATATTTTTGTTACAAATTACTGCCAATCTTGACATATGAAAAACATGAAAAGTGCTATGTGGTAATCGGACTTCAAAAAGATCCAATTGAAAAATTTGACTTTATGCATTATAAAGGCTGCTTTATAATGCATAATTTGAACTAATTTTAATGATTTGAATGTACAGCATGTTAATTTAATATTTTAAACTTTAAGTTGCATTTCTTGGGGGAAGGGGGACTAGCTGTACTAGAGTTCTGCAATTTTTCTTACATTGATTAAACCTAGGTAGCAGGAAAAAAGATTTTATATTTAATGTTTATGTACAACTGATAATTAATATGCATATAATCATGTAGCTCAGAGGTTCTTAACGTCATTGGTTATTGACCCCGTGGGTTCAACGTAGTTTTAAAGCAGGCTGATGGACAATGAGTCGGTATATTAAGGATACACTGATTACAAAAAATTATTAATATTGTAAAGTTGATAATATGTAAATGTTATTAATATGTAAAATTCTTTATTGATATAAAATTATGTCATGAAATAAAGAAGAAATTATGTCAAATAAATATAAAGGCAAAAATAAACAAAATTATTTTTAAAAAATCATTTATTATGCAAAAAAAAAAAAAGAAAAAGTGTTAAGAACAAAGAAAATGTAACTGGGGGGGGGTGAAGAAAACAAAATGTCCTTAGAAGATATATTGTTATATTCAAGCCACTTGCAAAATTAAAAAAAAGATTTTAATGTTAGTTTTCAAGACATTGAAAATTTAAAGGCACTAGCATGGCTCTCAGAACTGTTGAGCTGCAATATATCTGATCTTGATATTATGTCGCAAGAAGAGTTGATTGCACTGAAGGAGGATATTCAAACACAAATCTTATTCAAAACAGATGGGTATGCCAAGTTTTGGAATTTAAAAAGTCATCCGGGAGAAAAATACCCAAATAAAAGTTGCTAATATTACTGTTTTTTCTTACCTATGGAAGCAAGCTTTAGTCAAGTCAATATTTTACTTCTATAAAAAAGAAAGAGATTGAATATTTTTGAATGAAATGATTTAAGAATAAGCAAATTCGTGTCAAATATTAAAATAATATTACAGCTTTCATTAGAATAATATTACAGCTTTCACATTATTTAAAATTGAACTTTTGTGCAATTAAAAATTGCGATTTTGTTCCTGAAAACTGGCTTATACTTGTAAAATTAAATAATGCAAAAATAACAAAAGAAAAATCTAATAAACTAATTTTTTGAAACCTTTGTTCCTATTCTTAGTCTAATTGCAATATTTAACATATGTTGTATGCAGTATAATACAGAGAGAAATGTAAGGGGGTCAATGGGGAAAAAAAAAAAAAAAAAAAAAAAAAAAAAAAAAAAAAAAAAAGAATCTTTAAAAAAAAAGGATCAATGCAATAAAAAGTTCAGGGGATCCTTGATGTAGATAACCTTAGAAAACATTATAGATTTAAAGTAGATTAAATGCAAACTGAATAAAAACTGATAAGAAAAAGTATGTTAAAAATAATTTTTTTTGGGGGGGGGAGAAAACAATTATTTTTCACAACTACAGTTTTATTTAGAGATGAAATCATAGCTCTAGCTTTTTTATAATTGTCAAAATCTCCTTTAAAGCATTTAATCTTCCTTCAATCAGGAAAATAGAAATGGTGAAAAATTGAGAATCTCCCATTTTTGCAGAAAGAGCAATTCGGAAATCAGAACATTTGCATTGTTATGGAATATCTGCTTTATGAACTACTTACAATTAAACATCTCAGTTCATGACAATCTTTCATGTGTATACAAAAGATACTTTAATCTAATGTCCATATTTATACCATTAGATTAATGAATACATACAAGAACTGAAATGTTCACCATTCATGTTCTCATTTTAAAAGATTAAGTTATGCTTCTACACATACTTGTACACATGCCACAGGGCCAGAAATCCTTTACATACTGCATCTACCTATGTAATTACTGTACCTATATTTTTATCTTGAAATTTATATTAAAAATTATATATTTTTATAATTTTAATTTTTTCCCCATGATTTAGCAGTACAACTACTAATACTCAAACAACCTCACTGTCATGTTGAAATATAAAAATATGAATACTGTATTGGGATTTCTTTAAAATAATTTTTTTTTTTTTTTTTTTTTTTTTTTTTTTTGTGATATCACCCACTTGTCCTTCTTTTAATTTATAAATTTACAGTGAAAGCATGTATGAATTATATATATTAAGTACAGTATACATGAAGTAAATATTTTGCTGGTTCCAGAATTCATGACTAGTTAAATCAGCTATTACACACATAGTTATCAATTACTGCTCAGTGGTAGAGTACCAGGAAAGATATTTGATGAAAAATTTGTAAACAGTAATTAGTAACACATGAAAAATTAATAACACATGACAAAACTAGAATATTATAGTACTGTTTACTAAATTTATTATAACTTAGACATTCATCTTTATAAAAAAATTACACACAGAGACTTGTTCATAAAAATAATAAAAAATGAAATTTTTTCATATCAATATCATAAAGTATAATCAAGGAAAATATTGAGCATCTAGTAAATTCATGCGTGAAAATTACTCTGAGAAAAACAAAAAAATTAATTAGCAATGAAATAAATGAAAACTTTTAGCACCCACGTAAAAAGCAAAAAAGATTCAGAAATCAGCATTTAAATACCAAAAACAGAAAAGGGGAAATTTTTCAGCCAGAATTTCTGTTCTTTTACAATTAAAAAATTGTGCTTTAATAATGAAGAAAAGTATACAATGGATTTGCACACAAAATATAAAATTTCCCCTTTTTCTTTCCCAAATTATGATAACAAAATATGAATAAATATTTAAACATAACAATTATAATGTACATTCCAACAGATTAATATTTAAATGATCTTTCTGATCACAATTTTCACATAAAATATAGAAAGCTCATGAGGTAGCAAAAGCCACATTAGCATACTTTATTAGTTTCTAATCACAGGATATTATATGCAGCATCTATAAGTATATACACAGTATAATTGCACATTATACTGTGTATATATGTATATATTAAATATATACATATATACACAGTATAATGTGCAAAAACTGTAGCTCTGAACTTCATCGTGAGAAGCCTGTTTTCTAGATATTCAGCACATTTGTAATTATTCATAAAATTTTATAGAATATGATTGTAATTATTTAATAAAAGCATTTTATCACAGACTGGAACACTGATCTAAATGCAATACCACTGGGAGGTCTCTATGCAAATGAATATGAATAGATATATGTTTTGACTAGAAGCACCGGGCTTCTTTGTGAAAGACAGTTTATATACTCTTAAAGTGGAGTAGCTTCTTCATAAAAAAATTTGTTTTTGCAACGACAACAGAGAAGACACGGTGCAGCCAGCAAAAGAAATGGTGATGCCATAAGAAGAAGGAAACTAAACCCAGCAAATATTCCAACAACCTAAAAGTGAGAAAGACCTTTTTTAATATCAACATTTAATTATTTTTCAAATACATCTAAAATTTTTAAGTTGAAAACAACAACACATTTTCTGTAAGAAAAAATAATTTCTTTCTTCTGCAATTATGTTTAAGTTATGAGATCAAATTTTATTAATAATATGATGGATTTCAGGTAGTTACGTATAATTACTTTAAAGCATAAAAATATTCAAATCTCCTCAGTGAATACATAAAAAAATTAAAAAGTATAATAATTTAATTTGTCAAACACATTACTTGTGTTCTATGCCATATCATAGAAGCTCGTGAGTGTCCTAGCTTATTCCTGCAAGGACCTTTGTCATAATGACGTAAAAGAAAATCATCCTGAAATGAAATGGGGGAAAAAAAAAGAGGTCATTAATTAATCATCTAGAAACCAATAAATTTCTCATTTTTCTAAGATGAAATACATCTTTTTGGGGAGAACATATTATACACAGAACAAATTTTTTAACCATGTGCTCGACAATTACTTTACAAATTGAATCTTAGATGTGAACATTTATCAGTTTTTTATATATGTAATATAATCTGTAATATCTTGATGATTTGGGAATAGCTGTAATGGATTTGGGCAGTTGTTTTACAGCATAGTTTGCATGATGCATAATGAAAGGAGAGACTTGTAAATAAACATGACCGTAGATACATCATGTAATTTTATCACTAGACAACTAATTCTTGAGACACATATTATTCTTTACATATCACCATGGGTGCAATATGCACAAAATCTTCATAAAATTCTTTATGATGATCTTTGGGTGGATAAAATACAGGACTCATAAACTTGTCCTTATCCAAAGAAACAATTTTTTTCTTTAGATATTTTTAATACTTTAGACAAAATGAAAAACGTTGAAAATTGAAGGAAATAAATTTCCGGTGCTTAAATAAGGCGTATTTTGATTGACCCTTGACCATAATACTAAATTATTGATTATTTTGAAAGCACTTTTTTGACCCTGTAGATAACTTTTTGTTGATGCAAAGGAAATTTTAAAGGAATATTTATAGGCTCATAGTACCCTACTGTAATCTGTAGTTTAACTAAAAAATTTTGATGATTAGGCAACAGATGTACTGAATTTGAACAGTTATTTTACTGCAGAGTTTGAATGATGCATAATGAAGGGGATACTTACATATAGATATCATGCCATTCTGTTACTAGACAAATAATTCTTAAGACACATATTCTTCTTCATACATCATCATGGGTGCAATATGCACCCACGCTTCCTAACATTCTTTCAAATTTACATCTTTCAACAACAGATGAAGTGGACAGACAGCAGCATGTGTTAGCATAGCAAGGCAAAGCAGGAAAGTGAATATGCATTCAGAAAAAGAGTGGGAGAATCAAAAGAAATCTTAATCTGTGATTGGATAAGAGGTGTTAACACTGCAGGATTACACAAGAAAGCATGAAGTGGATTAATTTTGAAGTGAAACATTTTAAATTCATATATTATAAACTTTTTTTTTGAGTTGCCCTACAGCCTATTACAGGCCAAGACCATCAACAAAATTCCAATAAGTTTTTTTTTAAATATCTTTTTTGATAAAATTGCATCAATTTGAATAGTTTCATGCTTTTAGAAATGTGGTTTTGGCAATAATTTTTCATTCAATGTTTTGTATAATGTATATATAACATTCAATGTTATATAATGACTACTGACTGCTGAAAATATGAGATAAAATATTATTAATTATACACACAACACACACATCACAATCTTCTTATTCTGATGCGCATGTGCCTCTCAAGGCACAACAGAAAGAATTTCTTTTTCTTTTTTTTTTTATTATTATTTCTCTCTTTATTAGTTAATGGCAAAGTGTTTTGTATATTTTGAATTATGTCATCCACAAAGCACATTTTGATTGGTTATTGCTTTCTGATGAAAGTTTCTTTCTTTTAGAAATGTGGTTTTGGCAACAGTTTTCATTCATTGCTTTGGATACTGGACTGCTGACTGTTTTCTCTTGAAAATATGAGATTTATAGCTTATTTCATTTTAATTTTTATATTATATTTTAATTATATAAAAAGTTTTGCATGATTTATTTTACAAAACAAAGTTCTTAACTTCCTTTATACAATTTGCAATGGGAAGTTGGTTAATTTATTTATTAGGATAATTAATATTTGTGTTAAGAGATATTGCTTATTTCATTGTAATTTTCTTATATATAATACATTTTTATTGAAAGTTCTGTTTTTTCTTATTTGTTGCTTGTTTTTTGGATAAAGTTGTTCTGCAGAGTAAAATTCCGTGCAGTTTTTTAATTTAATGCTTGGTGTTTGTTCCCTTTAGGCATTTTTCTGGTGCATTTAAAAGTCAGACAAAGGCTGGCTGCATAGTGGCTAGCGAGGAATAAAAGAGACTACAGACAAATTAAAATTAGTAATTTGCATTGATATTTTATACCTCACTTATATGCATTTTAAAAATTAATCATATAAATGCGAACATCTATTAATTTTTCTTAAAATATTTACATAATTTTCAAGTTAAATCACTAATTAACAAATTAATTTTTTAAAGTTAATCCAGTACCACATACAGCAGAATGTAGATTATCAAAATCTATCAGAACATATTCCAATTCAGTTAACCCTCTGAGTGGCACAGGATTTTAGATCCATCATGAAGACCAGTATTTAAAAAGCATTTATTAATTTAATTTGTATAATTACTTATTTCAGTTTACATTTTCATAAACTTACATTCATTAAGATGATATTTACATTATTAAAGAAAGTAAGAAAGCAAAATATCTTAAGAAAATAGTCTTTATGTAGCATATCAGTGATTTGTTTTAAGATATTAATTTAAAGCAAAAAAAGTAAGATCACATTTTTTGGGGGTTTAAACCTGAAATTCTTCTTTCTATAAACATTTGACACTGGAGTGAAATGTTCAATAACTTACAATGAAGCTAATGCAAGTGTGTTATAATTATAATGTTCAAATACTCACATTCTACCCCATGAAATTTAAAAGTCACTTGCTCATTTTAAATGCATAAACAAATATAGGGGGGGGGAACAGATTACATTATTTAGCATTGTATTCACATCAAAATATACATGATGAATGCATTAATAATAATAAATAAATAAAAACACATACAAAACTAAAATTTCATTAAAATTAAATCTTTTTATATTCGGATGAGCAGATATATAATATAGAAGATGCACTAGATAAAAAATTTTCTGAATTATATTTAAATATTCTGTATCTATATCATGGTTTTTTACCACTTTAACAATTTTTCTTTTACAATAAGCTGCTTTTTAGAAAATTTTAAACCTACATATAAAATATCTTCTTAAAGTGTCAAAACACATTTCTCATAAATAAATAATAATAAAAATACTTACATCAAGAGATGCTAGGCAATGCCAACAGAATACATGCTTGCACCTATAACACATCATTTGAGCACAGCCATCGTCTTTTTCTATTGGGATTCTACAGTTAGGACACCTTTTAATAACACTTTCATCATCACTGATGGATAATCTACACATTTAAAAACATACAAATATTTAATTTAAATAAATTCAATATAACAAATTCAAAACCATGTAAGTTTTAAAGCAACTATAACATAGCAATAAATAAATCTTAAGCAATTAAGATGTATATTCATCCTTTACCAGTTTCAATAAAGAATAAAAAATAATAATGACTTAGTTTAGTTTATACAGCATTTATATAGATAAATTCTCAAACAACACCGCCAGACTTTAGTCTCAGACTAGATAATGATCTTTGAGAACTTGCTACAAGCAATGAATAAACACAATTTGCCTCTGATCAAGTTGGAATATGCACATACATCTTTCTTAGGTTAATTGCTTCATATGCTTTCATTTAATGTAAAAAGTCCTGTGAAAGATTAGCTATGTAAAATTCGTTTGGTTTACATTCACTAGGAATCATACCACAGTAAAAAAACATCATCCCTGTGAAAATTTCTTGGCCTAGTTATTTACTACAAAACATTTTCACATAAACTTAGAATTCCATAAATATACAAGTTTCATTAAAGTAATAGGGGGAAAAATTATAAAGTGGTAAATTAAATTTTACATATATTAGCTATTTTACATATATATCTACCCATAATTTTATCATTAACTCATTTACCCCCTTTTAAAGTTTACACTTTAGATATTTATAAAGCATACAAGAATTATGAAAAATGAAATCCTATATTTTCATAATTACTTAAACTATTAACTACAACATAGAGATGAATCCTGAATGTTTAAAGTACTGCTATAACTAAAAACATACATTTTAAACATACATCAAGCTAGAAAAGTACAATTTATCTGTATTGAATGTATGAACAACATGCTAAATTATATTGATGGCTACCTCATTTGCCAACTATGAAATTCCTGGAAATAAAGTATTATGAAGATAACAGAAAAGTATAAATGATTTTATTAGAAGTTTACACTTTCTAAGCTTATGAGATGGTTCTGCTTAGTTAGAACAAAAAGGTTAAAAAAATTAAATATGATGGGAGAGTGCAAAGATTGACCCTTACATATAATAGTACCTTTCAAATGTTACAGAGTTACAGATGACAGAAAACGTTTTGAGAAAAAAGACTACATATGGAAGAAGTTTATTTAGCTATATGAAATATGCTTTCCTCAAAGCAGCTTTGACCATTATTAAACTGACAGACATTCATTCATCAGCTGCACCAATATGCAAAGAAACATAAATATAATAACTGCAGGGAATCTCAGAAAGCAAAGTTATTTCACGAGTTACTTGAAAAAGACTAGTAAAAAAAGGCTGAATTAATAAGCATAAGGAATTTTAAGGATTTTAAGCAGAAATTTTAAGGATAGGTGAGGAATAAAAAGAATGTGATATTTGTGGCTACCTGTTCCTATATAAAAAGAATAATTTTACATGGGAAGAGGCAGCGACAAACACCATCTACATGCACTAGATGGCTTTGTTTATCAAAAATTGCATTAGTAGTACAAGTCAAAGCCCTAGTCAGCCCTACTAATTTCTTTTATTATTTACTTCAATTTTGTGTTCAAGAGCCCCTTAAATTCCAGTGCTGATCCTATTATAAGAGTCATTAGACAGCAGCACATGCAAGCAACAGTCTTAGCATTTCTGAGCACGTTCATGAATCAATGCTTTGGTGTTGCAAAGCAATGATTCATGAACGTGCTCAGAAAAGCAAATATTATTGTGGATAGAATAACACTTCCTCTAAAAATATACACATATTTAATAAATATGTTGAATTACTTTATGTGTATTCCTTTACTTTTTCCCTTCTACCCCTATAGGACACTTACATGGTGTTTACAACTACATCATATTTGTATTTTCATTCTTTATCTACCATTGGAATTTACACAAGATTTTTTTTTAATCACTCTATATATGACGTAAAATGTATTGAAAAAGCGGGAAAAAGTTCAAAATACGAATATTTTTGCATATGATGCAAAGATACTGGATATTTGGAGATGCACACACAATATATTATATATACATATATATATGTGTATATATATATATATATATATGTGTGGGTGTGTGTGTGTGTAATATATCTATATAATATATATTATATATATATGTGTGTATATATATATGTGCACACAAAGGCAGGAATTAAATTTTTGAGAAATGAATTCTTTATGCTGAATATTCTAAAATTTCAAAGCAGTAAACTCACTGTAAATATTTCATTTAAACTTCTGTCTCAAAAAAACTAGTCTTTAAACTATTAAAAAAATCTTCCCTAAATATTCTGTGCTACAGAAGTCTGATATCAACAAATCTAACAAGAATTGTATTGAACTAATCATATTACAAAAGAAATGCATTACATGCTATTGATATTGCACATTGCTTAGAATTAGATGACAGTGAGAAGAAATTATCAAGCTCATTTACATATGAATAATACTAACATTCAGATCATGTTGCATGCCATGAGCAAATATATTAAATATGATGGCACATTAAAAGTTTTAAAATTAAAGCCTAATTAAGACACAATAACACGCCGAATAAATATTAATTCAGAAGTCAAACAACAAAAATCAGCATTATATTTACAGCGTTAAATTTTACAGCAATTAACTGGAAGTTTCGATGGTTTTAGCACGAACCACCATCTTCAGCTGCAAAACCGCAAATGAACCAGATAGGAAATAATGATTAAATAAGATAAGAAAGCCTGGACAAGAATAAGCAAGTGGCACCATCTGTTGGTGAAACCAGAACTAAAACATCATTTCTTTAAAGGCCGAAGGCAAATTTGGATTGGAATTAGGATCGTTAACTAGAACAGAAAGATTTTTATGAATGTGAAATGCCTCTAGAAAATCCAGTTCTCCAATGGAAGATGTTTTTTGAATAATTTTGGCAGCAGAAAAACTGAAAGTGTGGTTTTCGGACCAACAATGTTGAGCAACAGAAGACTTCTGTGTTTCATTTTTCAAACATATGCCTCATGTTCCTTGACGCGAAATTTTAAGGCTCTCTTAGTTTGGCCAATGTAAATTAAACCACACTGGCAAGGAATCCTATAAATACCCCCCAGGAATTCATATCCGGAATGGGGTCCTTGAGTATGGAACTCGGAATTTTATTGATGGGAGAATAAACAACCCGAAAGTTAAATTTCTGCAAAATATGTGCAAACTTTATAGCTAATTGATGGAAAGAAGGGAATGACAACAGAATTTTTATAATCTCCTAAAATAAGAGTGTGGCTTTTAGTGTGTTGAGATGAGAATTTTTTAACTGCTTGATTAATAATGTTGGGTGAAAAGCCCCTGTCAATAGCTATTGCTTTTAAATAATTTAGTTCTTCATCAAGGGCTAGTTTGGAGGAGCAAACTTGAAGAGCACGGAAAACATAGGAATAAAATGAAGCTAACTTTTGTTTAGTCGGATGACATGATTTAAAGTGTGGTGGAAGGCAAACCGATGAAGGTTTACGGTAAACCGTAGTACTGAAGTTGGATGTGTTACGTGTGACACATCCAACACATCGATGCAAGAGAAATGAAATTCGCGAAGTCTGGTTTCTAGACATCTTAATGCACCCTCCACTGAGACATTGGTGAATAATGATTTTACATCAAAAGAAACCATGAGTAAATTACTAGGAGAAATGTTTTTAACTTTTTTTACAAACTCTATTGAATTTTTTATGGTGTAAATGTTATTGTCTAATAGAGTTGAAAATCTAGAAACTAAATATTTAGCTAATGGATACGAGGCAGTACCTAAATTTGATTACAATAGGGCGGAAAGGAATACCACTTTTATGAATTTGGGGAAGAGCATATAATCTGGCACAATTCGCAAACAGATGGGATAAGTGAATGTTTTAAGTTGCCTGAAATGATTTGCGAAGATTTGATCGCAGTTTTTATTTTGACAAGTCCGAAGGTGAAGAATCTTTAGGGATCGGATTATATGGTCCTTCGTTTAAGAGTTTAGTGACACCATCGATGTAAGTGTTCCTATCCATGACGACTATCTGGCCACCTTTGTCGGCCTTTGAAATAATAATATCCGGGTTAGAATGAATTTCACGCAATGTAGCTCTTTCTCTCGCAGTTAGATTTGGTTTCAAAGGTTTATTATTGAATTTCACATTATGAGCGATAAGATGCCTAATCATTTCTTTCTGTGAATCTGAAACTTTACTGAACTTGAAAGCTTTTTCGATAGGAGCCAAAATCTTTGGAATCGAGGGTTTACAGGTTTGTGAGAAGTTAAAATTATATTTTAGAATTCTCTCTTGTTCTTCTGAAAGACTAACATTAGAAATATTAACTATTGGCTTGATGTTTACAATGGGAAGATTTTTTGAACTACTTGAACTGGAAGATTGTAAAAAGAAGTTTTTCGAATTTAACTGCAAGGGTGTTTTTATGACGGTTAAACTGCATTCTCCGTTCTAGACCAAGATTTGTTCAAGGGCAGTGAATTTTGGATGTGATTTAGCGAGTTCCAGATGAAGCTTATAGAGTTCACGTTCAATTTTGGACAATTGTTGACGTGTATCCCTTATGACGGACCGAAGTAAGGCAAAGCTTGCAATTTAACAGAATTCTTGAAACGCGACTCGAAGGTTTTTGATTAGATTTGATTTGAATAAAATTTGGGGATCAATTTTTACATTTACATTTAAGTAAAAAAGTCAAGATGATTCAGGAATTTTTGCCGTTTCAGGCGTAATTTAGTGAAACGATTAACGGATGAAGGCATGATAAACAATACAGAAAATCAAGCTAAATTAACTAAACAATAATAAAGCACACACAAAACAGCAGAAAAATCCCTCACTGAAATTAATAGAAAACAAAACGTTTGTAAGCAAAATGCATGAAATCAGACAAGCAAAGCACAAGCTTACCAAAACAAAGACAAGCAAAGCTTACTGAAAGTCTTAAGTTTCGGTAAGTACTTTTTTGCAATTTTCAAGTTGAAAATTGCAATTCACTTGA